AATTGAATTATGTGATTTTATTTTATATTTTATTCTATTTTAATTTAATTTTATTCTATTTTATTGATTATTTTAATTTTTACTTTAATTTATATTTTATATTATTTTTTTATTTTATTCTTTTCATTTTATTATATTCTATTTTACTTTATTTTATATTATTTTATTCTTTTCATTTTGTTTTAATGGAATTGTGATTTTTATTTTATATTGTATTATTTTATTCTATTTTATTTAATTTTATTTATTTTACTTAATTTATTTATTTAAATTTATTCTTTTAATTTTATTTAATTTTATTATTTTAATTTTATTTTAATTCTTATTCTCTGCTCTTTTTCTATCAAATCAGAACCTTCGACCCGGTGTTGCCAGACCTGAACGCCAGATCGCTCTCTGAGAGGTCAACACCTCCATCCCCATGTCCATCGTACAGGCAGTCCTCGACTTACGACCACAATGGAGGCCAACCTTTCCACTGCTAAGCAAGATTTTTGCAAAGCGAACGTTGGTCCCAAGTTTAGACTTTCCTTTTGCCACCGTCATTAAGTGAAGGGCTGCAGCTGGTAGCGAGTCGCAGGGTCGTTAAGTGAATCTGGCCCCCCAGTTGTGGAAAGGGATCATGCTGACCCTGGGATGCTGCGACCGTTTTAAATAACAGTCGGTTGCCCGGGGGGTGGGGAGGTGGGTCTGGATTTTGATCCCATGACTGCGTCGTAAGTGTGAAAAAAGGGTCCTCGGTCACTTTTCTTTTAGTGCCTTTTCACTTCAAACAGTAACTAAGTGAATGGTCGTTAAGATGAGAATTACCTGCGTTCTGCAAATAGAGGGTGGGAGGAATCCAGCAACTTTTAAAATTTGGAGACTTCAACTCCCAGAATTCCCAAGCCAGGCATGCTAGACCAACAATCAAGCAGTGAACAAGTACTCCAATCAAGGAATATACCAAGGAGAAAAACATGACACCCCACCCTCCCTTCTAGCCCTGATGACGTTCCCTAGTTGGGTCATGAAACGTCTGCAAGGAAACCCCCCAGCTTAGACAGCATCAAGGGCCCCACAATCCTTCCTCCTCCTCCTCCTTCCCCCCCACTTTTCATTCCCCTCCTCCTCCTCTCCTTCATTCTCCTACTCTTTTTTCCCTTCCTCTCTTCTTGCTCCTTCCTCCTCCTCCTTTCACCTCTTCCTTGTTCTTCCCTCTTCTTGACCTCTTCTTCCCCTTCCTCTTCTCCTCCTCCTTCCCTTCCTTCCCCGCTCCTCCTCTTCCTTGTTCCTTCCTTCCTCTTCTCGACCTCTTCCTCCCCTTCCTCTCCTCCTCCTTCTTCTTCCCTTCCTTTTCCCCTCCTCCCTTCTAGCCCTGATGACATTCCCTAGTTGGGTCACAAAACGTCTGCAAGGAAAAACCCCAAGCTCCAAAAGCACCAAGGACCCCCGCAGTCCTCCCTTCTCGACTGACCTTCCCTGGCTGGATCATAAAACAGAACAGAGAGAGGCCCTGAGGGAGAAACCTATTTCCTTCTCTGTCCAAGCTTTCATTTCGCCCCCGCTCCCCGCAACCATTATGCTATACCGCCTTTCCTATTTTCAAACAAAAAACATTTTTTGCTAAAAATAGTCTATTTACACACACATGGTTGTGTAGACTCCAGTAACTCGGCTCTCAGATTTTGGAGAAATGGTTGCAGAAGTATGTATGTATGTATGTATGTATGTATGGTATTCAGCTCTGTTCGGGTATTTTCCCACATCATTATAGTTGTGCTTTTAAAGTTGTACTGACGTTTCGGCAGAATCTCATCTGCCATCATCAGGCTTCCGTATTGTATTCGTCTGTCACAGAAAAATCCTTTCTTAGTGAGCCCCTAGAAGCCAAGAGGAACGTCCGGGCCAAATGTCAAGTTTCTAGGCTTGACGGTTCTGGAGATTTTGTGATGATGCGTGAGGGGTATTTTGCTTTTATATATAATTAATTATAGATAGATAGATATAAGATATACACACACACACATATACACACGCAGATATACATAAATATATATACACACATACACACATATGTATGTATGCATATAACTACATACACACACACAGATACATATATGTACATGTGGCGGTTGTTCAGTGAGTCATATGTCGGTGGAACAAATCCGTGGACTCGGGGGGGGGGGGGACACACACCAATGGGGACGCCACGACTCTCACAAAAATGAGTCGGCTGCCCAATGCCTGACTTTGGATTGCAGGGACGTGAACTGTGACAAAAACAAAAAAACAAAACCTGGACCTCCACCACCAACATCTCATTCAGCAATGGGAATTTTGGTCATCAAGTCGAGGACCGTCCCTCTGGAGGAAACCTCCAGATTACGCTTTTCAAAAGCGGGGAAAATAAAAACACAGCGGAGTAAACGGGGGAGACTTCTGTGGGGGTTTGTGTGGTGCAGCTTTGTGTATTGTCCGCGGCTTTGCGACGCACCGTTTTTGGGCAGGGCCACCTCCTCCACGTTGGGCACCGGGGTGGGGTCCTCCATGTCCTTGGTCAGATCGTCCTGCTCCTCCTCTTCTTTCTGACCGCGTCGCTTGCCATAGAGGCTGGCTTGTCTGAAAGGGGAGTGAGGGGTGGGGGGTAGACAAAAGTAGAAGAGACCACCCTTGAGCGACCCTTTTCTGCACAGGGGGTGGACCATGGGTTAGGGTTCTCCCCCCACCCCCACCCCCTGTCAACCTGAAAATGGGTGGGCTTCAACTCTCAAGTGGCCCTGAGTTAGCAGGTTGAGCAGCATCTCTTTCTCTGTCACTTTCATCCGTTCATCTCTTCATCTCTCCACCCACCCAATTCACCCAATTCACATCCATTCACCCCTCCCTCAATCCATCTCTCCATCCCTCCCTTTATCTCTCCACCCATTCCTCGACCCACCCATCTCTCCCTCCATTCACCCTCCATTCTCCCATCCATCTCGCCATCTCTCTCTCTCTCTCTTTCCCTCTCTCCCTCCATTCCCCCACCCAGGTGTTTCTCAACCACGGCCACCTAGAAGACGGTCGGCCTTCAGCGTAAGATAGAAGGAGGATAACAGGAGAAAGGAGTGGCAGTTAAGACGAGTCCCCAGCGGAACCGTCTCTTTCTGACTGATCAGCCGAGATGGGAGGGAATGGGCACCTCCTCCTCCTGCAGGATTGTGAAGGGATCCACCGTGGGAGGTGGCAGATCATCTCCTTCCTCCTCTCGGTCACGCTAACCACAAACTCACTGCCACTTGATGGGTAATTCAATCCATCCATCCATCCATCCATCCAAGGACCATACCCTTTCTTGCCAACTTTCTTCCTGGATTCCACCGGGGTGGGAGGGGGTGGGGGTGAAGGAGAGGCCTTCCTCTTCCGGGTCCCGGCCGCTGCCTTCCTATCTCGCCGTTCGGGGCTACGGACCGGCTGCTGAAAAAAGAAAAGAGATGGTCCAGCCAGGCTCCCCTTTCCCCAGGACCCATCGTCCACGTCTCATCCAGCAGCTGGTTTCTCAGGGGCCCTGCCTTTGAAAATGATCCAGGAACCTGTGGCAGGTTCCCCCAAAGGGGCTCTGAGGCAAGATTAGATGGGCACTGAGGGTCCCACCCCTGGCAAGATTCACAGGTGTTATGGGCCTCTTCTCTTAAGGAGGTCCATCTGGTGGGACCCAGAAGGAGGACCTTCTACAGTGGGGCTTCCCTGAAGGACCTCTCATCTCAGATACATCCATCTGACCCACCACAGCCAGGAGGGAAGGAGATGCTACGGGTCTCCTCTCCTAAGAAGGCCCACCTGGGGGAACTAAGAAAGTGTTGGGGTTAAGGCCCAGCCACTCGTCTAAAGCGGTCCAGGGTCTCCTGCACGAGCTCCCTTCCAGCTTATTTTCCCTTCTTTCCTCCTCTCTTTTTCCTTTTCTTCCTCTTTCCTACTCCCATCCATCTTTTCTCTCTTCCCTTTCCCCTTTTTAACCTCTCTCCTCTTCCTACCTTCCCTTCTTCCTCCCTCTCTCCTTTCTCCTTCTCTCCTCTCCCACTCCATTCTATCTCTTCCCCTTTTCCTCTTCCCTTTCCCTCTTAATCTCTTCCTTCCTGCCTCCTCTTCCCTTCTCTTCTTTTTCCTTTCTTCCCCTCCCCTCTGCCTTCTCCCTCTTCCCATCTTCTTTTCTTCCCTTTCCCCTTTTTAATCTCTCTCCTCTTCCCTCCTTCCTTCCTTCCCTCCCTCCCAGTATCACCTCTATCCCAAGAAGCCAAAAGCATCACCTCTTCGTTTCTCAGGTAGATCCGTTGTCGAAAACTGACCGGCTTCTTGTTCTCATCCACCTCGTAATCTTCTTCATTCATCCATTCATTGAAGACGTCCATGTCCAAGATCCATCGGGCGTGGACCTAGCCCAAACAAGCAGAATCGTCAGAATCGTCTAGAAGGACAGGCAGTCCTCGACCTACAACCGCCGTTCAGCCCAAAATTGTGGCTGCTACGCGAGAAATCGGGAGTTTTGCCTGATTTTAGGATTTTTCCTGCCACCATTGTTAAGTGAAATGCTGCAGTCGTTAAGTGGGGAACCCGGTTGTTAAGTGACTCTGGCTTTCCCCATTCAGCTGGCTGGTCAGGAGGTCACCAAAGGGTCATGTAACCCTGGGGTGCTGTGACCGTTGTAAATGGCCATAGCCTCCAGCCCGCTCACCATTTAGGAGAACTTCATTCTGATGTTTGACATTTTTTGCAGGGGTCATCTTGTGTGCGCAAACCGTACGCGTAATTTCTCTTCCCTAAGAATTAGTAATGCCTCCAGCGGGAAGTCACTGAAAAAGCAGGGACTGTCACAGCCGCTGCCCACCAAGAAGCAAGACGCACCTTCCAAGGCTTTTCGGGAATCGGAGGCTCTTCGATCTCTGCTTCGACTTCGCTCACATGGACCCAGGTGTCATAGCTGAAAGGTTAAAAAAGAAAAAAAGAAATAGGTTGGTTAGGCTGCTCTGACAGGATGAAGCACAAGAGACATGGGAAACCATATCTATCTATCTATCTATCTATCTATCTATCTATCTATCTATCTA